TTTTCTACATATATTTATATGTTACCTATGTGTATGTGTAATTTTTCCTTCAGTTAACTATTTAATTTGAGTTCAAAATTGAGGCTATTAAAATAATTTATAATTAAAAGTATTCTTGATTTCCTGTGGTATTTTAGTATTGTTATTCAGAAACATGTTTTTAAAGCATTATTTGTGAGTTAGTGGTCAAACAGGCTTCTCTTTTGAAGCTTTTCTTTTAAAAAACTTGTTGTTAGGTCAATTGAGTACTCTTCATATAATCAGCATATGTATTAGTTTACCTTTATCTCCCAGCATTTAATTCTTCAGTGCAAGGAATACTCATGTGCTGTATGCTTGAATACAATTGAAACGGAATACAACTGAAAATTGAAGTGGCTAGAATATATTGCAAAGGAGAATTAGATGACCATGTCACACCACTTAATGGCCTGGATTTTTGCCTTTTCATTGTTTTGAAGGACATTTCAACAATATCCTTCAAAATACAGAAGATCACAAAAATGAATACACAATTTTTTAGAGCAACTTTAGGTTTAAAGGAAGTTGAGAGGAAAGTAGAGAGTTTCCTGTGTCCTCATACCTCTCCCACAGACTATTTGTGTATTATTAACCTCTTGCATTAGTGTGGCACATTAGTTACAATTAATGAGCCAATATTGACACATTCTTATTAATTAAATATTGTTTTGGCTATTCTGAGTCTTTTGCCTTTCCATGCAATCTTCAGAATCAGTTTATTAATATCTACAAAATAACTTGGGATTGGAATTGCATTGAATTTATACATCATGTTCGGAAGAACCGACATCTACAAAATATTGTCTTATTATCCGTGTACATAGAACATCTATATTTTGGCTTCTTGGAAGAATGATCTCATTATTACTACATAATGTTATATAATGTTTCTTTTTATCCCTGTAATCTTCCTTGCTCCAAAGTCATCTTTATCTAAATTTCTACATTCTTTTGATTAATGTTAGCATGGTATATGTTTCTCCATGCCTTCACTTTTAATGTGTGTATATATTAAATGTAGGTTTCTTACTGACAATATATAGTTGGGTCTTGTGTTTGTATCTATTTTGACAAACAGGTGAATTTAGATGATTGGCTCTTAAAGTAATTATTCATATAGTTGGAGTAATATTTATACATCTACCATATTTTTCTCCATTTTGTATTCAATACTCTTATATTCTTAATCTTTGTTTCTTCCCCCCCCTTCTGTTTTTTCTGTCTTCTCTGACTTTAATTGAATATTTCACGATTCTGTTTTCATCCTCTCTTAACACATCAATTTTACATCTTCTGTTTTTCCATTCTTTTTCTAGGGACTGACTTTGAATTTGCAATATACATTATAACTACCAAACCAAATCCTCTGTCAAATATCATCATACCATTTTATAAGCAACTTACATAACAACATAACTAACCCATTTCATGGGTAGTACAAGTACTCTAAGACAGTATTTTCAATTATTCCCTCTCACTTCTTATAACATAGTTGGGTATTTCTATTCCCCTAGGTTGGTTAGGTTCCGGGAAAATGTTTTTCTTGAAGGCAGGCCTTGTTAGGAATAGAACGCTCTAGCAATATTTCAAAATGGCTACTTTTCCCCTTTTCCCTGCTGAAAACTGAGATTTTTCTTTCATCTTTGCTGTGAGAATGTGGGAGGGCCCCTGAAGGGAACATTGACCAAAGTGTGTGGGCTGCCAAAGACTGTGGGTCCCCATTACATTGTTTTCTCTCAAACTTGTCCACATTGAGGCTGCAGCAATCTGTCGGTTACAGTTAGGATTCCTACACCAGTACTTGTTCCCTGAAGAGTTCCCGTTCATGGGCTACTTGCCCAGGTAAGTTGCGATACTCTGTGTCTGGCTGTCTGGCTGTCCAATGTTGGGGGTAGTGGTTTGCCTGTGACTCCAGTTCTCTAATGAATCTAAAAAGAATTGATTTTCAGTTGGTTCACCTTTCCTTCTATAATGATAGGAATGATGCCTTCCAAGCTCCTTACATGCTGGACTGGAAGATGCAAATAACTTACATCTATTTTTTTTTAAAAAAACCTATTTGACTGAAAATATCCCTTTTCACTAACACCCCTTTACAAAGGCTGCCAAAATAAGAAAATTTCCATAAAATTTATTTTTCTTATTTATTTATTTATTTATTTATTGAGATGGAGTCTTGCTCTGTCGCCAGGCTGGAGTGCAGTGGCACGATCTCGGCTCACTGCAACCTCTGCCTTCCAGGTTCAAGTGATTCTCCTGCCTCAGACTCCCAAGTAGATGGGACTACAGGTGTGTGCCACCAAGCCCAGCTGATTTTTGTATTTTTAGCAGAGATGGGGTTTCACCATGTTGGCCAGGATGGTCTCAATCTCCTGACCTTGTGATCCCCCCGCCTCGGCTTCCCAAAGTGCTGGAATCACAGGTGTGAGCCACCGCGCCCGGCCTAATTTTATTTCAGTAAGATAAGTGGGGAACTTTGAGAATTATTGCAGCAAAATTTTCAGGACAAAAGAGTACACATGAAAACAACTTGAACTATTCCTGTAGCATCGGTAAACTGTTTTCTATCCGCACTGTCCTTTGAAATATATTGTAGGTACCACCAAATATTGGGTTAGGAAAACTGAATATAGTATTTAATTTAGCCACAGGAACAAAAAAAGTTTTCTAAGTTTCACATTTTGTTCCCAAAATACTGCTTGTTTGTTTTCTTATTTGGAAAATCACAACACAGGTGGCATGCAAAGCCAGAATACCTAGACAGCACCTGTCAAACCTACTGCGAACAGTGGCTTAGTCATTAAAAACGTGCTTTCTTTAAATCCATGGTATTTTTAATTAAATAAGAACATCTAGATTTCTCTACATTCTGTTGCCTTTTATACACTTCAGAATTTCTAACGCATTTAGACTGCACGTTATCAGACCAACTTTAAAACATTGTCTTCAGTAAGAAAAATATGGTATAATTCAATGAGCTATAATAACTCTTCATGTACAATAGGGCTTAATTGAAAGTATCGAATATATTCATCCTATATTGGACGTGAATAAATAGCCTTGACTTTGTCCCAAACAGTTAAATAACTAACATATTTGTATAAATTATTTTTATAGTTCAGTTCTCAAATACTATAACATATATAATGATAACCAATGTACTTCCATCTCAGAAGCAGATCCTATTTAATTCAGACTTTAAAGATTTCTTTTTCCATTTTGTAGTGTCAACCCAACGTTGAAAGTCAAATATTTAGAGCAGTAGGAAAAGTAGTAATTAGGTTCATTGACACAAATTCAACCAATTTTGCAAAGTTAGGAATTGAATTCTGATTTAAAATCTTGTATTTATGTAAATTTATTCCTCCAATTGCATAAAAGGTAGAAGAAGAATTAAATTGCGAGCTGTGGAATGATCATCCACATTCACTGCAGGATATTTATTTTGGCACAGACAATCAATGTCAGTGTAAGGCCCAATATCAAAGCGTAACCATCCAAATTTCTAATTAAGGGATGTACTGGGGCTGGTAATGAAGTAGTATCCCCACTTATATGCTTCAAATTTGCATATCTCAATTTGCTCTTATAAAAATCCGCAGTTGTAAGCACGAAATCAGAAACTGATTCTATGGCGTGAAATATTAATGCATGCCAAGGTATTCATTTTTTTTTTTTTTTTTTTTTTTTGAGATCAGAGGTGTCGGCTCGTGCGCCCAGGCTGGAAGTGCAGTGGCTGGGATATCAGCTCATTGCAAAGCTCTGCCCCCGCGGGTGTCCCGGCCAGGCTGCCTCAGCATGTCCCGAGTAGCTGGCAGGCGCCGGCCACCTCGCCTGGACTGTC